TAATACCCACCACAGCAGTTCTGCCAAGTAATGGATTGTTTTTATCTTGATTTTACTCATGTGTAAATGACTATACGGAAGAAATATCCCTGTTTTTACCCTTACCAGTATTTCAGAGGTGATCATTTAGCATCTATGAGAAATAATTTTCTTTCCTATTCCTATCCTTGAGCCTCCTCCTACCATAGTCCTTTATACTTTTGGCAAGATGCCAAACAAAACATTCTTTGTGGATATAGCGACCTTGTCTATCTTTGTCTCCACTGCCTGGCACTAGCTTGTGTATAACTGTGATATTTCTGCACGTATGGCTATGTAAATTATTACACTGGACTTCCAAATCCATCTTTTACAAAAGTGTCAAAATGTGGTAAAGGGGGGCTGTTGGCATATTTACTTAGTTTCTTTTTTAATCCTCACCTGAGGATGTTTTTCTATTGATTTTTAGAGTGGAAGAGAAGGAGGGAGGGAGGGAGGGAGAGAAACATCAGTGTGAGAGAGACACATCAGTTGGTTGCCTCCCGCATGACCCTGGCTGAGGCCAGGGATTGTATTTGTAACCCAGGTACGTCCTTGCCCGGACTCTAACCCCAGACCCGTTGGACCGAGGTCTGATGCTCTAACTGCTGAGCCAAACCGACTGGGGCTTTTACTTGGTTTCTTAAGCAAACTCAGAGCAGTTTAGTTTCCAAAATGCTTAGCTGCATGGATGAATAACAGTGTTTTATTTTATTGATGGGAATTCCAAATTCCAAGTGAGAGTTATGAATTTTTGGAAATTGCTCACTGTTATGTATCAAAGACTGGAAGAGAAGAGAGTCCATATAATATTAGCTGATAGTAACTCATTTAATACTTGGAATGCCTGAGATTGTAAGTCTAGGATAGAACTCACAAAGTTTTTCAGTTCTTCTATTCAAAGTCCAACCTACTTCCTCTTTTACTTTCTTAAACATATGAAATAAAGTAGGGCACTCATTACTGTAGTAATTTAGGTAGAAAAGGAAATGAAAATAAGTTGTTGTCTACCACTTTTATTTCCTCACTTCTGAAAGTGTTTGAATATAAAGTTACATAGTTAGAATTGTGTGTTCCTCATTTTATAACCAGTGATTACAAATAATTATTTGTAAAAAGTTATTGTGGATTATCTTTCTGTTTTGAAAATAAGGTACTAAGATTAAAGTCAAGGGAGAAATGAGAATTTAAGGCACCCCATCTCCCTACCTTAGGTAGGGTGCTCTGAATACTTGTAGGTCAGTCACCAGTTTCTTGAAAGTATTATATGAGTGACTTGTATATCGTACTTCAAACTATCACTTTTTGTGATCCTGGGTTCTAGGGAATTCCCTATGGTAGCAGTGGGAGTTCCTTAAGAGGGACTGATTATTCCTACCTAGGGCCTTTGGACTGTTAGTTGTGGCATAAAAGAGCAGCTATTTATTGGTAGTTTGGTCATTAAAAATATTGACTACATGGTGACAGGTTGCCTTTACAGTTTAGTTTTTGTAGCCTTTGAGAAAGAGAAGTAAAGATGAGAAATACCAGTCCTAAAGAGGTTCCTAGGGAAAGTTAATAGGAGGAGGGATGTTTAAATAAAGGACTCATATCTACAGATCTGCAGATAGCCAGAAATATCCTCCCTAAAAGATTATAAAAGTTGCTTCTTTCTGTTCCTCCTGAATCTCACCTTTGATTGATTGTCTGGGTTGTTCCTTTTCCTCCTCAATACTGCCTTGTGAGTTCATCTTAAACCGATCATCATTTGGGGAGCTGGACAGTTCGAGAACTTGGTCTTACCCTAACCCTCTGGCACCAGCTGTAGGCTCTCAGTCTTCTCTGCTTAAAGAGGTTTGAAGTTTCATAGAATTAGTGTATTTTGCCAGTGAAAGATCAGAATATATACTTGGTTAGTTTTCAAGATAGTTGCAGATGTTTCTGAAGTATAGAGTGTGTTTAAATTTAATTTATGTAAGTTAGGTCACATTCTATTACACATGTGCTTGTTTATTTTTGCAGTAAATGTCCTTGAAGACTCCAATTTACTTTTGTTTAAATGTGACTGCCATGCTGAAAAAGAATCTCTGTGTATGTGTGTTATATATAAATATTTATTTTCAATAAAGCAGTTTGAGTAAGTTTTAATTGTAGGTAATATATTCTGTTTGCCTGCAGAGGTAGCTACTGTCACCTCAAATTGAACTTTTGAAGAAAGGGCCAAGTTTGGTGTTTTTCTTTGGACAGTTTTCACAGTGATTCTTTGCTGTATTATTGTCCTGCATTTGATCTTAGTCTTATATCAGTTTTTCTCCATATAGAGATCATAGATGATATATTGGGTGGTTTCAGACATACTTCATATGACAGGTGGTGTTCAGCTTTTGATTTGGGGTGTTTGTGGGCTTTGAGCTTCAAATTTATGATTGCAGAAGTCCTTAACTTAATTTCCTATTTAGAAACTTTGCTATATAAAGTAACATTCATAAGTTCCAGGAATTGGGACTTGGTATCTTTGGGGTTCATCATTCAGTTCACTACAGTCTGCCTCCTGGACCCCAAATATTCACATCTGCCCCACATGCAAAGTACATTCACCCTTCATGTCAAATCCAGGTTTCACCTGGACATCATCAGCTCAACTGTCTGAAACTCATCACTAAAATAATCTAAGTCGGGTATGGCTGAGACTGAGTGCCATCCATTTTGACACAAAATTCCTCTGTCTCTGGACGTAAAAACAAAAAAACAAGTTATCTGCTTTCAAGATACAGTGGTGGGTCAGTCACTGGATAAAATTGAATGGATAAAGGGAGACAATTGAAGGAAGAGAGGAGCTAGCAGTCCAAAGCAATTTCAAAATCCAGCAGGGCAAATTCCATCAGGTTTCAGGGCCTGAGAATAATCTGCTTTTAAATGTTGCCTAAAGAGCCCTGGCCAGTTTGGCTCAGCGGTTAGAGAGTCCACCTGCGGTCCAGAGAGACCCAGGTTCGCTTCCCGCTAAGGGCACGTACCTCGGTTGCAGTTTGTCCCCGGCCCTGGTTGGTTGTGTGGGTGGCAGCCACTCGATGTGTCCCTTTCACGTCGATGTTTCTCTCTCTCTCCCTCTCTCTCTCTCTCTCTCTCTCTCTCTCTCTCTCCCTCCCACTCTACCTGAACAAAAAATGGAAAAATGTCCTCGGGTGAGGATTAAATAAATAAATAAATAAATGTTGCCTAAAGACAGATTTCCAAGAAGTAAAAGAGCACATTTATTTAAAAGTCTTTCTTATATATTGCTGAACCTCTCACCAGAAAAATTATATTAGTTTACTTTTCCACCAGCAATGTATTGTACTAGTGATTATTTTACTTAGTCACTTTGATCAATATCTCATCATTAAAAATATATGTGTGTATGTATAAAATAAAACCTCTAAAGTTTACCAATTTCACATAAACAAAATTTTTAACTGTTTTCAGTGTTAGTGCCTTTCATAATTCTTTCATAATTTTCTTTACTGTTTATACCCTTGCCAATTTTTAAATTTTTCTTGATTTGCGTGATGTTTTTATATATTTAGAGTTTCTGATTTTGTCTTGCAAGGATTTCCTGGACTTTTCATTTAAAATTTTTAAAGGTTTTTTTGTAATGTACAGAATTTTCTTTTTAATACAGCCATATCTGCTATTTTTCATAGATGACCTTTTGCATGTATAGTTAGAATGTCCTTCCTTAACAGAATAATAGAATACTTGCTGTCAAGTAAAAATGATTATAAAGTAAATATTTGATACCTGAAAGGCAAATTATGTGAAAAATTCATGTCATACTGTGCTTATTTCTGAAAATGATGTGTCTGGTCTTCGGAACTCACATCCTGTGGAAGGCGCACTCATGAGAGCTCATCCCGGGACCAGGCCAGGAGCTCTTCTGCAGTCTTGTCCAGCTAGTGTGCACACTCAAACGCTCAATCCCACTGGAAGCACCAGGCTGAGCAGGCTGAGCTCTCTAATACATCATTTGAATCCACGGAGGTGGGAAAATATTTGGATTTCAGAGATGTATAATAAACTGTGAAGAGTGAGTGCTGGAAAAATGTCCTTAAAATGTAATGTAACTAAGATGGGCTTAAAAATGCTTAAAAACCCAATTGTGTTACAAAGTTTCCATATACTAGAATCCTAAAAAAATGGCTTATAAGATTTATTGACATAAAAAAAAAATATGGTCAGTGGGTACAGCATGTTACATAACGGTGTGACAGTCTGTGACAGTCTGATTTCAGTTGTAGAGAAAAAAATAATGTATGTATGGAAAATAGTCTGCAATAGACAGTGATTAGTTTGGGGTAATTGGACTTAAACATGTATATAAATATATTTTTAAAGACCCTATATATTTTAAAGGTGTATATATAATTTTATATATTTTTTATTTTATCTTTTCTGAATTTTCTGGCTTTTTATAATGGACATGTTTTGTTTGTTTAATATAAAACATACCGTCTTTTTTCCTACCCCAAAGAAATTGCTCCAAATAAATGATTATTTGGCATACCTTTGTTATTAATTTGAAATTGACTCTACCATGATATCTTTTTGTCTTGTGGTTGTGAATGCTTCAGATTCTACACTCAGTTGTTTATATTGCATTTGAGGGAAAATGGTTTTCATTTAAGTATAATATTGGAAAGGTAGTAGGTTAGCATTTTTTAATACAGCTGCTGAGGTAAATGATTTTTATGGTGGTATTTTCATTTGCAAATGTGTTAGCTTCTCTGAACAATGTAAACTTGAAGCACTGAGTGTTTTCTGTTTTCCTGGCAGCATAATGAGTAATTTATGGATGGTAACAACTTTATTACTGTTTCTTAATTCTGGAAATTCTTTGTTGCCTTTAAAAATACTATATTAACTATATGTTAAAGCAAATTTTTCTGCCCTTTGGTCTGAATTACTTATGCCCTCAGTACCTGTTTTATAGTGCTTGAAACTTTTACTTTTTATTTGTTATTTCTTAGGTAAACGCAAAGCACTGAAGTTGAATTTTGCAAATCCACCTTTCAAATCTACAGCAAGGTTTACTCTGAATCCCAATCCTACAGGAGTTCAAAACCCACACATGTGAGTATTTCTGTAATCAAGTAAAAGGCTCCACTTAAGCAAAGGTTATAAAAGTTACTGTATTTTATGATTTTTTTTGAGTTGAAGCATTGGTATTTCCATTACTTTTATGGTCCATTTGAAATACTACTATTTGAACTTGAATAGAAACATATTGGTGCTGTAGTTTGAAGTAGGTAAACACAATTTTCCCTTTTTAAAGTTTACTTGAAGGTAAAAATAGATAAAAGATTCAGATATATTTATATCTTTTCCATTTCTCTCTCACTAAACTGAAGATATTGTTTATACCTTTCTTTCTGGATTTCCAGTTACATTGTAAGTGGTGTTTAGGAAACTTAATTCTTCCCCTGTAGATCTATATTAATCATCTCTACTGACGAGGTGACAAAATAAATTTCTTTTCTTAATAAACAGAATTCCTGTGAGTATTCCATGTCATAGTAAATACACATGTCACATCACAGTATGTATATGTCAGTGTGTAGGTGTCAGTGGTTATTTTTAAAATTTGTTCCCTGAATATTTTTTATTGAAAAATAGATGTGATATTATAACATCTCACTGAAATTATTAAAAACATCTGTTAATTTAAAATAATACCTTCAGAATAATTTTACAGAAACCTTTGATTGACTCCAAGTAATGTATTAATAGATAATGTCTTTCCCCTCACAAAACCTGTCATGAACAGGGTCAAAACCAGTGACTTTACATTTATATTTATGTCCATAAAAATTAATTTCACCCAGTTCTGGTATTGAGAAGTGTAAAACGAGTGCTGAAAGGTATGGTTTAAAAAGCTGTCAGAATAAATTATTTTTTAGTTTTTAATAATTTCTCAACAATTTGTATTCATACCTTATTAGACTACAAGTATATTTATTCTTCCCAAAGAGTCACATTTATTGCTATTTTCTTGTCTTTTGATGTTAGGTATGCATTGTATTTTCAAACAGTAACAAATTGGTAGGAGGAAGAGTGTCTTGAAGTAGGAATGTTGAAAATATTTTATTTTTATTTTATTTTATTTTTAATCCTCACCCAAGGACATTTTTGCATTTATCTTCAGATAGAGTAGGAGGGAGAGAGGTAGGAAGAGAAGAAGAGAAACATCGAGAGAGAGACATCGAGTGGTTGCCACCCACATGACCGCAACCGGGTCCTGGGACAAACTGCAACCAAGGTACATGCCCTTAGCGGGAACCAAACCCAGGTCTCTCTGGTCTGCGGGCCGATGCTCTAACCATTGAGCCAAACCGGCCAGGGCGAAAATATTTTAATTTTAAAATAGCCGCCTGAAAGGGAATACTGTGTATGCCTGTGTATCTGCTCTTATGCTTCCACCTGTAACTTTAAAGGGAATGAAAGATATTTTAAATGAAATGTGGAGTAACAGTTTATTTGACTGGTAATAGTGTCTGTCAGTTTTAATTAGGCTGATGGTCATAATGGGATTTCTTGTCAGTGCTCAGTATGGAGTCCCAACCTTTTTAGCTTCTCTGAAACATCAAGTGGGGCTGTAGTATTGAGGAAGGAAACTCTTAGTATTTCTTAATGAGTCAGCCTCAGCAGCAAGGAAACACTCTTAAAGAATCTCCTTCCTTCTTTCCTAGAATTTTTAGTGAAAGCTGGTATAAAACTAATTCTTGAACATAATCTGTTTACCTTAGTTGCTACTGAACCATATATTTGAAGTCTAAGAAAGAAAGGTTATGCAATAATCACCAAACTTAAGAAATCATTCTTTGTCTTCTTTTTTGAAGCCCCCTTGGACAAAGACAACCCGGCTTATATATATTAGAACTGGAAAAATGTTCACATATATTGGAACTCTCTTCCCTCAGAAGTTTCTTCACTTATAGGGAATTCATGGACAAAACTCTATCTTTTTTTTTTCTTTCTTTCTTTTTAATTAAAGTAAGCAGTAAAAGATGAAAAAAAGCTTTCTTCCAAAATTTTAGTCAATTGGGTTTTTTATTTTTGGTTGAACCTACTGTATAATAATCCTATAACCAGCTAGATTTCTTGTACTTTGTCCCTTCCCAGAAGGTGTTCAAAGTTTGAGAGGGCACGGTAAGAGGCATTTTTATTATTTGATAGAATCTCTGGAATTTGATTTTGATGTGTTAAACTTTAGACCAAGACTTTGTTTGAATTTTATTGCTGCACTGGTTTATTATCTGGATCGGGATAGCAGCCACATGCTTGGTCATTGGTCAGCGCAGCTGTTTCACTCTTAGGGCAGCACATTTCCTCTGCCCTCCCACCCTCCCTAACGGCATCCTTTGTGTTCTTCCTCTGAATTGTGTGCTGTCAGGCACTGAAAGTTACTGTTGGTCACTGTTCAGGGTAAGTAGTTTGCAATTGGTAGGGGCTTTGTTTCCTCCTAAAATTTTCTTGAAGTTTAGTTACAGATTATAAATATAAAACTTTTTCATGAATTTAGGAAAAGGTAAGATGAACTATAAGTAACTAATGAAGTTAAGATATGTCCGGGAACAAGTTTCAGATTATGTGGCATTTGATGTCTCCTGGCTGCAGGGTTCTATAAAAGATTAAAACCAAACAAACAAACAAACAAACAAACAAACAAACAAATGAAGACTGTGTTCTTATTTTCTGTGAACCAACAGTTTAAATAAATTCCAAGAAATGATAGTTGGCTATCCCAATTCAGAAGTAAGGCCTAAGGTAACACAGATTGATTGTCAAATTAATGAATGGTGCAGCAGGGGTAAGATCACTTAAAACTTAGTGAAAAGTTTCACAAAGGGAATAAAATTTGAATTGGCATTTGAAAGACAAATAGAGACTAGGTAGAGAATAGATAGGTGGAGAGAAGGGAGAATGGCATTCTGGTAAGTGTTAAGTATAAGGTAAGTAAGTTTGGGGTACCATGTATAGACCTATGTTACTGTAGCAGAGATGTTACTTATATGTTACCTATTTCTATCTCACTAGAAATTTTTAGCATTTTTCTGTTCTTGGTATTCTATAATTATATGAGGATATGCTTAGTGTTGGATCATCTTTCTCTGTTTGAAGATTCATGTATCTGTTTCTGAGAAAATTTCTTCAATTTTTTTTTTTTTTTTATATAGATTCCTTCATGTTTTTTCTATTTCTTCCTGAAATGTGTGTTATTTGGATGTGGATCTCTTGAATTCCCCAGGTCTCTGACTTCTTTCATATTTTCCATCTCTGTGTTTTTGCTCTGTATCCTAGATTTCCTTTATTTTCTGAGTAATATAGAATATTCTACTTTGGTTTAATTTCTACAAGTTGATTGTGGCTTTTTCTTAGTATCATATTATTAATTTATGTGTGTAAAATCTGGAATTCTAAAGTTTTTTCTATCCTCTATGTAATTTATTTCCTCAAGGGTCAGTTTTTCTTTTATCCTTGTCTTTCTCCTTTGTATTAGTTTTGTCCCACACCATCTTATAATTCTCTCTCTTTTTTTAAATTAATTAATTTATTTTGGTTACAGATGTTTCTCCTTTCCCCCCACTGATTCTCCCCTCCCCCTCCCTGGTATAATTCTTGATTGTCCATAGATGGTTGAAGATGAGGAAATTTGAAGGCTGATTGGAAGCTCTGGCTATTGATGGTCAGCTGGTGAGCTTGACTTTAGTTTTCTGTGAAGGGTTTGAGAGCTGACTGTCAGGCTTTGAGTATTCTAGATGCCAGAGTGATAAGTAGAACCAGCATTCACCCTCAGAGGCCTTGTTCTTCCCAAATAGTATGCTTATTTTTATTAGAGACATGCTCTTTTTATTATTATTATTATTATTATTATTATTATTTTTACTTTGAGGGGAGGGTGGAGAGGAAAGGAGGAACTGACTAGACCTTTCTTCCAGAAAGACTTTTAGTGAACTCACCTGTTTCTAGGCTTTCATACCTTTCCACTGTGAATCCCCTTTAAGGTTGTGTTGGGACTATTATTTATCTCTCATCTCTGTTGTATGCTCCCTCCCACCATGTTTTCTTTTAAAATATGTTTTTATTGATTTTTTTAGAGAGACAAAGGAGAGAGATAGAAACATCTATGTGAAAGTGATACATCTATCGGCTGGCTGCCTCCTGCACACCCCCTACTGGGGACCAAGCCTACAACCTGAACGTGTGCCCTGACTGGGAATTAAACCCGGACTTCTCAGTCCATGGGACGATGCTCAGTCCACTGAGCCACACTAACCAGGCCCTCCCACTATATTTTATGGGCTCTAGTTTTCTTTATTACCATTTTCTAAATCTTTTATTATAGAAAGTTGCAAATATATATAAAACTAGAGAGTGGTAGGTGCGTATATATTTATCAATCAGCATTAGCAGTGTCAGCAGTTAATGTGGCCAATATTGTTTTTATCCCTTAGTTTTAACCAAATTTCAGACATATTATTTCATTTATTAATATTTCAGGGTGTATTTCTAAAACACAGGGACTCCTTTTTTTTAAAGTAATTATAATACCATTATTACATCTAGTAGAATAAATCTTGAATATCATCTAATAAGTAAATTACTTCAGCTTTTTTCAGAAAAATAGTTTGAAATGGAATCTAAATAAAGTCCTGCCTGCAGTTGGCTGATAAGTCTGAAACCATAGAGTCCCTTCTCATGGGATTGACCAGTTTTGCTTTGTTTAGTGTGTCTGCTTTCAGGCATTCAGAAAATTTGTTTAAATCTCTCAGTTTTTCATTACTTTCTTTAAAAAAGAGATTCTTTTTATGTAAACTCGTGGAGAGTGAGGAGATAACCTGAACAGGAAACCTTTGTTTTTAATTGTCGTTGGTTAAAATTATTATAAACATTTCCAATGTATAAAAAATGAGTTTTATGGAGATGCTTGTACCTACTACCTAGATGTAACAGATGTTAACATTTGCCCCTTGGCTCGTTAAGTGAAAGATTAGGCTGTAACACTGAAGAGTAAAAGGAAAATGTGTGGGTTACCTTTTAAATTTTCATCAGAATTGGATTACTAGGCATTG